TGATTTTAAATTGATGTCATTTAGAAAATAAGACTCCGATTATAGAAAGTTGTTTTATAGACAAATTAGCTAGAATGTTCTTATTACCAAAAATTAATAATCATTTTTTTCAATGCAGATTTCTGTCTAGAGATTGTTGCCTTAAATTGAACTTACCAGATTTCTCAGGACTTTAACCAGCTTTTTTTTTTTTTTTCTTTTGAGTTGGAGTCTCACTGTTGCCCAGGCTGGAGTGCAGTGGCACACTCATGGCCACTGCAGCCTCGACCTGCTGGGCTCAGACAATCTTTCTGCCTCAGCCTTCCAAGTAACTGGCACTACAGGCGCAAGCCACCATGCCCAGGTGATTTTTTGATTTATCGTAGAGACGAGGTCTTGCCAATTGACCAGGCTGGTCTTGAACCCCTGGACTCAGACAATCCTCTTGCCTCGGCCTCCCAAAGTGCTGGTATTACAGGTTTGAGCCACTGTGCTCGGCCCACTTTAACCATTTTTTAAATGGTAGAATTGTGTTTCTTTTTGTTAAGATTATACAGTCTATGAGCCACAGTTGCAGATAAGAAGTGGCATGGACCGACAGGATCACATTTTGGTATTATGACCTGGGGCAGTCATTAAAAGTGTTAGACTGCATCATGAAGGTTGGTCCTAATTTGACCTGACAGTGGAAAGCTATGTAAAGTGAATTGTGACAGTAACTGTTATAATAGCTGAACTCAAAGAGATCATTGATCTTCTCTCACATGAATCATGAAAATTATTCGGTTCTTTCCTCAAAGCCCATGAATTATTTGCATCTGTGTGACAGACATCATTGCATGTGAACTCCTTGACCAGCTTATTGGTGTACTGACTGAGAATCACACTTTTGAGATGTTTAACCCCCTGGTTCCATTGGATGTGGAATGTCATTCTCCAAGGACCTCACCCCCACCCTTCCCCAGTATGCATACTTTCTAAAGCAACCTCATGTGTGTTATGAAGTCAGATAATCTGTATTTAAACATGACTTGAAATAACAACTGGTCAGCTGTCTACACCAGTTAACTTAGATTTGTTTATTGTGAACATAAGATATAGAAATAGCAGAAATCCATATCTATTTGTCTTTGTTTTATCAATTTGTGTTTCCTTTTGGACAAGCGGAAAATTCTGTGGGCTTGAAGGTTGAGGGGACAAGATGTGAGGGAAACAAATAAGCAAAGTACAATGCTTTATTTTATCCTCAGGAATGAAAGGGCAAGGACTGTGAGAAATGTATAAGACTTTAGAAAATTTCTGACTTCATTCTGTTAGTTATCTGTTACTCCCTCATTTGTTTTTGTTGCAGTGATTATTAGTAGAATCCTTTAAAATTTAGACATCCCATGTATTCATTTTAGGGAAAATAAGCAAGATGACAGTTGAACAAAATGCATCCTACTTCACAGATAATCTGGGGGAAATAAAAGGAACCTCTCAAATAAAGTAGGTGGTAGTTTTTAAAAAGTAAAGCAAGTTGGATCCTAACAAGGAATGGGCCCCAGGCTAAGAAGTACCTTCTGGATTTAGGCCTGTCAGGAATTCTATAGATAAGATTTCTGCCTTGTATAGAAGAATGAAATAGATACCTCAAACGTTTCCCAATCTAATATATTCCAGTTTTATCATGTCTATAAAAAGGTGATAGAAATTGCTTCCATAAAAGATTTAAAGATGAATTATATAGTTGTGGAAAAATTACACTATGGTAATTCCCAGTATTTTTACACTTATATCATAATTGAAATTTTAGCAATAAGAATTCTTGGAATTAAAGTGGGGTTTTTTAAGGATTTAATAATTTTAATGGGGCTATTTTACTTAAAATAGCATTTGGCATGGGTCACATATGAGGGAGGACCCAAAAAACTGGAATTTATGTATAAAAAATTGTGTACTTATTCTTACATGTTTAAACATCAGTAGCCCTCAAAGTTCTCTCTGTTTGATGCAATACACCTATCAAGATGCTTTTCCACTGCTCAAAATAGTTTTTCAACTTGTCAATTTTGTTGCCCTTTAGTGCTTCTGCCATTTTTTGTTTCAGCTCTTCCACATTGGCAAAATGTTTCCCTTTGAGGATGTTTTTCATCCAGGGACACAAAAAAAATGTCACCACGGGGAGAGATTGGGTAAACAGGGAGGCTCATGCTGGGACTCAGGGGGCTCATGCTGTTTTTGGTCAAAAACTGCTACACGCTCAGCATGGTGTGGGCAGGTGCATTGTCATGGTGGAAGAACCAGCTACCTGTTTGCCAAAACTTGGGAAGTTTCTTCTGCAAATCATGATGCAACCTTCTCAAAACTTCTAGATAAAAACTTTGGTTGACCGTTTGATCCAAAGGAACAAATTCCAAGTGTACTCCAAAGGGCCCACCCTCCAAAAGATAACTCTGGTTTTTTGGCGGGGGTCCCCCTCGTATACATGACACAGAAAAGATCCTTTAAGTACCTATTGATTTACTGGCTTATTGGTTTATTTGGTTCTGTCTTAGGGGAGGAATGAAAAAAATATAGTAAAAGTAACTAACAAGCATTTGTGTCATAGGATTTTGCTATCTCTATAGCTGTTGCTCTCAAAGTACAAATCTTTGGAGACTGTATTGGGTCCTGGATAATATAAAATGTGGATTTGTGTTCAGTGAATCAGCTTACTTAGTGAGATGGTTCTTCTCCATATGAGATCTTTCCCTATAAAAAATAAGGCCGGAAATGTTATACTGACTTATCCAGATTTTCACATATCTAGATCATATGTGAGGTGCATACACAGAATGTACTTTAAATCTCAGTCTTATTCCAAGACAAATCTGTACGTTCGTGGGAGTAATAAAATATCTAAATCCCAAAAGTTATCATATGGGACTAAATAAAGGACAAGTGCAACTATACTCAAATGTCTCAGGCTGAATACTTTAACTCACTGTGTCTTTTTTTTCTTAGATTCCTTCAACTTTTAGAAAAAGGTACAAACAGCAATGAAAAGGTTCAGTGAGGAAAGTAGGATATATTCTTGGATCAAGACAAATTCAGACTAATGTATCCTTGCATTATGCATCAACAATTCTAGAAATTAAAAATAGAAATTAAATATTATAATAATGGCAGTTAAGACTTATTGAGTATCTACTATGTGCCAGATGTTATTCAGAATGTTCTACATATATGTCCTCATTTAATATTTTTAGCAGTCCTATGAGTTAGATATTGTTATTAGCCTCCTTTTACAGATCATTGTGCCAAAGCTCTGTAAGAACCTCAATCATCTACTTAATAAGGCAAGAAAATTGAATAATATATTATTCTGTAAAATTATCAAATGCAAAACAAAATAAAAAGATTTTTCTGATTAAACATCATTAATCAGGACCTCCAATCCCTGAGCATTCCTTTTAATCAGGATTTTGCCATCCTGCAGGATAGTACTCATCTGATAGAGATGCATTTAACATCTAATTATTTTAAGTAATGTTGATATAATTAGCATTAGCACTTTAAAGTTGTAGCCTTAAGTCTTGATCATCAGCTGTCATGTCTTTACTCTAATTGCATGGGCTAATATAATGAGCCATCTACCCCCTACCCTATTGAGGATTAACTTACTATGTGCAAAGCATGGCACTAGGCACTAGGGATACGGTTGTGGGGGAGAGAAAAAACTAGGCAATGTTACTATTCCTTTACACGTTGTGAAACTAAGACTAAGGGAGATAACATAACTTGCCAATAGCTATCCAACTAGTAAAGAACAGCCAGGATTTGAAACCCAGTCTATTGCAATCTTTTCCCTATATCATTCTGCCTTCCATGGAGTTCTAAGTGTAGTCTGATTGCTGAATAAATAGTACTTGTTATATGGGCTGAAAATATTAGCAAGGTGATATTAGAAACAATGATGGAAAGTCATTTTGTTAGAACCTTAACATTGATTTTACTAAAACTTGATTGTCCTGTAGCTGATGGCATCCCAAGTTTTTTTTTTCTTTTATCTATTTTTTTATTGACAATTTACAACATTATCTCAAGAATTATACAGTTACATACCATGGAAAAGTTGGCGGTTAAAGAATGAGCCATATCAGACCAACCTGATTCCCCTTTAGATAGGATTGGAAAACCAGTGGAGAAAAGGCTTAGAAGAGATATCTTAACTTTGGGCTTTAACAAAGCTTTTTGATTTCACATTCCATGGAGTTTTAATTGAAACACTTGAAATTCCAAGTGCTGTTGCCAGAGGAGTAAGAACTATCTCTACTTGTCCCTGACTGAACCATGTAAGACTGGAAGAGTAGAAAATGCCATTGCCATTTTATGCGGTGCGGCAGCAAATCAAAGTGACCATGCTTATTCTTTGAAGAGAATGAGATTAACACTATCCAAACCTGGGACATAGCTCCCCATCACTCCAGCTACTAAATAAAATAAACCCCTTGCAATTTCTGTATCTTTGATTCCTTTTCTCATTTACCATGCAGTTATGGTATTCTTTTTTGAAAACCTCTCTATTTTATCATTGGAAGTTCCTTTGAACCCAGGGTAGTCTGATTATTATATCTGCATCAGTTCAACAAACTTTGTAATGAAAGGATGGGGAAATTTCAGGAGATAATGCAAGGAATATAAAGTTAACCTTTTTCCAAGGAAGAGTAGGTCTAACCACAGCCACATTTAAAGCAGGCCCCATGTCTTTAAGGGAGGGTGTAGAAGACAGTTACTAGCTTATGACCAACACTGTTAACTTGTCACATAAACAGGAGGGATCTTACAAATAACAGAGCCACTGTCTTATATTTTAATTCTGAATTTATTGATAAGATCTGTGAAAAGTTACAGAGGGAAACTGTCTGTAAGAAATTCACCTGTTACTCCTAGGTTCTTAAGATTTAAAAGATTTTCCAATAGTGGCTCATATAAAATAATCTGGAGACGATCCCAGTCCTTAATGGAGTCTGGACTTTGGCTTTCTTTTTCTTCTTTAGGATTGAACCAGCTGCCCTTTGACCCTGCCAACAACAACGAGCCCCTGCAGTTTGGTAGTGCCAGTGGCCCTTTGGTCACAGAAGGCCTCACTGAAAATGGAGGGGAATCAAGCAAGAAAAGAAAGAGAACAAATGCTCCTTCAGGTAAGCTAGGTGGTAATGCACTGTCTTAAGTCAGTGCTATTGAGTCCTCATTTTCCTAGAGCCTAGTATGTGTTGGGTCACATACTGTGCTAGGATTTGTAGGAACTACAGACGTAAAAGAGTCCCCTATCCTCATGGAACTCATGATGGGATTGAAGGAAGAAAAAAAGCACACAGATGAATAGCTCTGATAATAAGATACAGTGTCATCAGTGCTGTGGTAAATGTAAAAGAAAAAAAAAACCTGTGGGAGCACAAATGAGGAAGAGTTTAATTGCGCCTTAGGGATTATAGAATGCTTCATGGCAGAAGTGACATTTTTAATTGATCCTTGAAGAATGGATAGGCTTGAAATGAGAAGACGAGTAAAGAGTGGTCGATTTACGTAGAAGGAATTGCATGAATGAATGGCTTCACTATACATTTGTCTTTGTATGTATATGTGGCAGGCTATCCTCACTTGTAACATAGATAATTGCATAAATGTATTTGTATCTCCCCACTTCCACCTCTGTTCCCTCCCAAACACACTATGCTTACATGTGTTCTATGCTCTTATAATTTTCAATTCTCTTAAAACAGCTGGCAAATAGATTCTTCTAAATCTTCTATAATAGCCTGAGTTTTTAGCCTCCCCAGCAATCCTCCCACCCCACAATTCCTCATGTCTCATTGGCCTGTTCTCATCTTAACTTTTTTCAAAAAAAAAGTAAGAAAACAATGGGAGAACCAGGTCTTAACTGTTCATCTGATATTTTAAAATTTTATGTCTTTGTTGCTTGTTTGTTTGTTTAGAAATAGAATCCCTGGTCTATGGAAACTGAGCTGAAATTTGAGGGTGGGCCTAACAGACATGTTTGTAGTTTTTCCTTTATTTTCTTTTTTTACTATTATTTTTACTTTCAGCTTGTGAAATGGAGCATGTTTACAAATACATCTGACTCTTAGATCATAGATCTTTCTGCTTTTAAGTCAAGATATTTGTTAAATGAGTTTGGAAAATGAAAATACAGTAAAACCTTAGCCATATGGAGCCCTCAAGAAATGAGTAGTTCTTAGAGAGCTATATTTTCTGGAGCATAGAAAGACATTGTGTAAAGCCAAGGAATTGGATTGAGTTCTAATCCTGACTTTGTCTCTCTTTGTACCCTGGAGTTAGTTGCTTAATCTCTTTGAGTTTCACTTTCTTTAACTGTGAAGTAAACGTGATACTAATACCCACCTCTTAGGATTGTTTTGTTTTGTTTTTTTTCTTTTTTCTTTTATATATGTGGGGTACAATTCAGGGTCAGGTATACAAATGTTGACTATGCAGGTACCCTTGAGGATGGTTATAAGAATTCATTGAAATGATGTAGGTAAAGTACTTATTACATGTAGTAACCACTTAATAAATGTTGCTATTATTTTATCAGCATTATTATTATATGATAATAGTATGAACCTTATCTTTTTTGTGTATGTGTGTTGGAGTCTCACTCTGTCACCCAGGCTGGAGGGTAGTGGCATACTCACGACCTCTCCAGCGTTGACCTGCTGGACTCGGGCGATCCTTCTGCCTCAGCCTTCCAAGTAGCTGGAACTACAGGCACATGCTGCCATGCCCAGCTAAATTTTTTGATTTGTTGTAGAGACAAGGTCTTGCCAAGCTGCCCAAGCTGGTTTTGAACCTTCGAGCTCAGGCAATCCCCTTGCCTTGGCCTCCCAAAGTGCTGGGATTGCAGGCTGAGCCACCAAGCCCGGCTGAACTTTATCTTTTTTTTTTTGAGTTGGAGTCTCACTCGGTCGCCCAGACTGGAGTGCAGTGGCCGCTCCCAGCCACCGCAGCCTCGCCTGCTGGGCTCCGGCAATCTTTCCGCCTCAGCCTTCCAAGTAGCCAGAATTACAGGCATGCGCTACCATGCCCAGCTGATTTTTTGATTTATTGTAGAGATGAGGTCTCGCTGCCCAGGCGGGTCTCGAACCCGCGGGCTCAGGCAATCCACTCACCTCAGCCTCCCAAATGCGTGGGATTACAGGCTGAGCCACTGAGCCGGCTGAACTTTATCTTAACCATCAAAATATTTTACATTTTTACTTTGAAACTGTGTGTGTGTGTGTGTGTGTGTGTGTGTGTGAATGTATCTGCCTTTTAAAGTCATATATTTAACATAATACATCATTTAATCTTTGCTTGATCATTTAGGGGCATAATTCCAGTTATTAATTATTGTAGTACTCTAATAGTCTATTATAATTTTCAGGGTTTACTAAGGAATATAGGCCTTTTACCACTACACTAAATTGTGCTAGACTGGTCTTTTAGTTATTACACTACATTTTACACATGTCCTGTGTCCTTTTTGCAGTTGCTTCTTATTCCTCTGTTTCCCTTTGTGCAGCAGCCCTTTTTCTCCTTCTAATCAGTTCTGAATTTTAAAAGGAAAACTAGCTTGCTCTGCAAGTTGATGTGTCAGGTTAGTATGTTAAGAGTTAAATCAGCTGCAAGTGGAACCCATGATGGATAGAGTACACAGGATTTAGGGTACCAACTTGACAACGTCTATTTTGGCTGCTCTGAGACCTTTGCTGATCACTTACTACTTTTCCGTTGTATTCACGTTAAGTGATGTGCTAGCTTAGGGTAATACCTCCTGAACTGTAGTTAACTCTTGAGGGTAGGGAAAGGGAGTATGCATTAATCTGAATTGTGAACTAACTTTAAAGAATTACAGTTTTATTTCTAATGATCGTATTCGGCGAGAGCAACATAACTGTTGCAGATATAGGACTTTAACAATAGATTATGTTAATCTATAATTAGCAGAAAACAATTTGTATTCAACTAATAAATATGCTGAAATTCTTAAAAAACAGTATGTTCTTTAAAATAGGTGAAATAAGCCTCTGGTAGGCTAAATTAGCTCCCTTGAAATCTTGTTCACACTATTTGCTTATTGAGCCTTTTCTTTGTAAGTAGGACAAAGGTAGCTGCAGCCCAGGTTAAATTACCACAAATTCCAAATTAGTGTAGTCTAAATTAATGAGGTTTTACTATACAGGCAGTCTCTTATAATTGTTCAGTGGCAATCTTTTGATATTATAAATGGGCAGATTGCCTTATAATATTACTTTCTTCCTCTGCAGTGCTAGACAAAAGGAAGAGGGAAGGTGTTTTGTAAGTAGGGACTTTCCTCTTTTTTATTTTATTTTTCTTCATTCCATGCATTGTGGCAAGAAGGGCAGCTAAGGTTGGAAATCCTTATAGGAACTACCAGTCATTTCAGGTCCAAGCTGAGATACATGTCCAGCCACTGCATTGCTCGACCATCTAACTCCACTGAGTCAAAGCCATCTCTCTCCTGCTTCTTCACTGCAAATGAGGGAGAGAGGGAACAACGCAGCACATGTTCCTTACTTTCCTCACTATTTATTCTTTTTTTTCCCTTCCTTTCCCATCCCTCCTAACTTTCAGCGTTTTTATAAACTGCCTCTCCTTTTGTACTGAAATGAATTTCTTAAAGGTCACCAGTGACTTTCAGATTGTCAAAGTCAGCAACCTTTTGGCAGGTCTCAACTACCTTGATCTCTTTTTTTCTTTTTTTTTCCTTTCTTTTTCTTCTCTCTTTTTTTTTTTTTTTTTTTTTGAGTTAGAGTCTCACTCTTGTTGCCCTGGCTAGAGTGCAGCAGCACACTCATGGCCACCAAAGCCTCGACCTGCTGGGCTTAGGTGATCCTTCCTCCTCAGCCTTCCAAGTAGCTGGAACTACAGATGCATGCCACCATGCCCAGCTAGTTTTTGTGATTTATTTTAGAGACGAGGTATCACCAAGTTGCCTAGGCTGGTCTCGAACCCCTTGACTTAGGCAATTCTCTCGCCTCGGCCCCACAAAGTGCTGGAATTACAAGCTAAGCCACTGCGCCCGGCTAATCTCTTTGTTTCATTCGATGCTATCAAACAGTTCCCCTGCCCCTTGAATCTTCTCTAGTTTTGTTTTCCTTGGCAATATGCTTTGCAAGTTCTTCTTCCTTTTCTGTCTCCTTCAAGCCTTCTTTCTCATTTTCTCCCTCCCTCAACTGTGGGAAGAAGAAGTAAAGCTTAAACTTACCCAAAGTTGAACATAGTGAGTGATTTAGTCAGGCCTCCAACTTTGAGTCTATTTCTTACTACAGTGCAACAGCAACTATGTCTATAGATATGAAGAATGTGGAGCCATTACTAAAATGTATATTAAACATTGATAACAGATTAGAGAAAGCTGTATTTGTGTGAAAAGAAATAGGTTACAATAAGGTGAGCAGAGCTTGGATTTGGTAATCTTTCGGTTCCCTTCCAACTCTGAGATCTCGTAGTTCCTCTTTTTCTTTTCTTTTCTGCTACTCTCCAAACCAGTCTTCTATTTCCACCAAGCTGATCTACTACCTTTCTCCAAAGGCACTGTGCTTACCAGCCTTGCTAATGTCATTCACTCATGTCATTCATTTTCCTTGCCTAACATGTTCTTCCTCTTCTTTTACCTGCCAAAATCTTGTCCAACATACTATTGCTCATCTGTTTATATGTATATGTCTTAGCCTTTCAACTCAGTCATCAGCCCCTGATCGGAAGGGCTCTGACTTTATGTCTTTTAGCAGAGATATGGTGTCTTGCACACAATAGTTGCTCAATAAATATTTGTTGATTGATCCCATATTTGACTGAAGAATTGCTTTTTATTTGCCTTTGTGTTCTCTGTTATTTTCTTGTTACTCTCAGGGTGGAGCTTTGCACAAAACTGGGTGCTTGGTATCTGATGTTGACCAGCTGACAGCCTCACTTATCACTAAAGGTCAAATTCAGACATTTGTGAGATTACACCCTCAGATTACACACATATCAAATCTGGGTGCTTGTGCAAAGAACACCTAGATGTAATGGAATCCTTGTTTCATGACCAGGTAAAATTTCATAAGTGTCCAAGGGAACCAGTAGGTGGGGTTTGGGTGTCCTGCCTCAACTCTCTATGGAGTAGATTAGTAAC